GTCGTAAAATGTGCTTTTTTTTTTTTTTTACAAAATGATATGAACAGTTTTACTGTTTTTTTTTTCTTTTCTCCTGCAACTTTTTTTTTTTTTAATTACCTAACATTCACTTCTTACCACAGGTAAGCATCCCTCATCCGTTACATCTGAGCCCACTCACCCCCTCAGAGGCTTCCCATCACACCCCCCTGCTGTTTCAGGGCTTCTGGAGAAGTCCCTGTCCCAGCTGCCCAGCCAGTCCTGCGAGGCCCTCACCCCCTACTCTGAGCCCACCACCCTCCCGTGCCACGGAGAGGGGCCTTACCCTGTGGACAGCTCTCATGTATCTGTGGCTGGGCATTAGGTCAACCTGCGGGCACAAAACCCCTCCCCTGTTCTCAGGGTTGAGTGGTCTGGGGCTGGTCACGTGCTGAGTCCCTCATTTGCAAAGCGAGGGGCCCTCTGTTAAACCACTCCCAGAGCAGGCACTTCCCACCCTCCCTAAAGTCCTGACCACGCAGGCTCTTACGGTGCCACCTCCCAAGAGAGTCGTCCCCACCCCACCCCCCAGGCTCCAGCCTGGACATTTCCAAGGACACCCAGGCGGGGTTCAAGGCCAGCCCCGTCCAGCTCCAGGCCTGCCCCTTCCCTGCACCCCGGGCAGACCAGGTGGTCTGGAGGGGCCTCTCCAGCATCATAGAGCACAAGGACTCAGGATCTGGAGTAGGGCGAGGGCGGGAGGGTGGTGTCCGGCGCCACCCAGAAGCCAGCCTGCTCCCTCGGCCCCACAGCTACTGGGAAGGTGGGCCCCCCGGCTGGCGTGGAGAAGTGGGGCAGCGAGGAGTGTCTAGGGCCCCATAACTTCCCCTCAGGCACTTCCTGTTCAACCACTGGTTCCTGTTTAAGGGCAAAGAGGGGGCCACTGACTTCACCACAGAGCCAGATGCACTGACTAGGGGCCGGGAACTGAGACCCTGCCGGGTTTAAGAGGAACGGCGGGCCGGCAGGTGGCGTGGTGGTTAAGGCTCTGGGCTCCCACAGGGCCGCCGCCGTTTCAGTCCTGGACCTGGAGGCTCGCTTCCTATGTTCCCTCTCTCTTTGTGCGTCTCCTTCTGGTCAAATTAAAAATAAATAAATAAAGTAAAAATTTCAAAAGAAAAAAAAGAGAGAAATGGCTGGAGCTTTTGGGGGGACGGGGTCAGAAGCACAGGTAAAGGGGAGAGCCTGGGGTGGCCACGAGGGCAGTGGGAACAGAGCTGGGTTGTCTTTCATTTCCTTGGGGGGCAGAACTCAGGCTGCAAGAGGATTGCTCTAACGCCCTGGGGACCCCAAACCCACTCTCTCCCTCCCTTCCTCTTAGCCTCGCTTCTCCTGGGGCGTGACACTCCTTCCTGCAGTGGCTCCCCCTCCCGGGTCCCTCCCGACTTACCCAGAGCTTCTGGTGTGCAGGATGGACAGACTCCGGACTGGCCAGAGCTGCCAGGGTGTAGACCAGCGCTGCACCTCAGATATTCCTGCCCCTCCCCTGGCTTCAACTTCTCCCCAGCCTGGGCCCTCCCCAGCATCGTCAGGAGGAAGTTCATCGTGGAGGGTTACAACATCTTTCCCTCAAGCTCCTGGGACTGCAGCTAGGCCTGAACCCCCTCATCGCCAGCATCTACTGACCCCGCTAGTAGAGAATCCTCACCTCCTCCAGGTACCCTTCCGACCGCATCTGCTGAGAGCTCATGAACTCGGGCTCTGGGTATCGATGCACACGCCTGCTCCCACGTTGGCCTGGAACTCTGGTGGACTTGGGGTGGCTCTCCTGGTGTTCCGCAGCTGAATCAGACAGGGTCCTTAGCGAGCAAATCAACGACAGGAAGGTCAGAGGAAGTCAAACTATATTTACATGAGCACTAGGGTAGATTTAGGCCAGAAAGTTGATGACAAATTGGTGTTGTAAAAGAAGCCTGGGCAATTCAGGTGGACTTCCTGTAGGAGGTAGTACTTGGTGCGGAGCACAGAACTAAGGGCAGTAGTCCGAGGCCCTCTGGACAGAGACCTGGGCGATGGAGGCGTGCTGGGTTATCAATTGCACACCCAGGCCTTGAGGAGGGTAAACAGTGGGGAGCTCCTGTGGAGGCAGGAGGTATAGTAGCTGTATTATTATTACTGTTACTATCTGAACACACAGAGATGCCGTATTCATTTGCATTTCCTTCACCAAGTTCAGAAATTTTCTGCTACTTCCATCCCCATCCCAACCTCCTCAGTGTTCCTCCTGCAAAACAACAGGACAATATTCAAGATTTTTGTTTTGCTTTGTTTTGTTTGAAGAGGGATTTTTGCTATAGGGGTCATGTACTCCCCAGAGACACAGAGAGAGACAGAGAGAGAAAGTGAGAAACCTCCCCTTGGGAGGATGGCCACACCGCAATCCCTTCTCCTCTCTTCTCCTCTCGGGATTTTGGGCACACACGCACACACAGCCAGAGTGAGTTTCAAACTGCCAGACCTGGGACTTGAACCACCATCAACCATGTGGGAGTCCAATGCCTTAACCACTCTATCACCTGCTGGCCCCATATTCAAGTTGTTTTTAAAAAATGTATTATTAAAAAGCTCAGGACCAGAAGATGGCATGGAGCTTAAGGTGACTGGAGCCCATAAGGCCAGCTGAGCAGTCACGTCTCAGACTTGTGGCTTAAAAACAGGCCAGACATGGGACCAGCAGCTGGCGTAACGGCTATGTCACTGGACTCCCATGTAGTCGACCGGGTTCAAGTTCCGGACCTGGCGGCTTAAACTCACACCGGCTGCATGTGCATGCGTGCCCAAGATCCTGAGAGGAGAATGGAGGAGAAGGGATTGTGTGGCCATCACCCCTGGGGGGGAATTTCTTGCTTTCTATCTGTCTCTCTCTGTCCTTCTGGCGAGCGCACGCGCCCTATAGCAAAAACCTCTACAAAAAAAAGAAAAAACAAAAACAAAACAGGCCAGACACATGTGTGTGCATGTCCTAAATTTAAAGAGAAACGGATGAGAAGGGGTTGTGGCATGGCTGTACGCCGGGGATGGACGTGCTTTCTCACTTTCCCTCTCTTTCTCTGTCTCTGGCTCCAGGGAGTGCATGCACTCTATAGCAAAAATAAATCTTTTTAAAAAGTTCAAACAGAAGGACCAGCAGTTGGTGTAATGGCTATGTCGCTGGACTCCCACGTAGCCAACCGCGGTTTGTGTCCTGGACCCAGTGGCTTAAACTCACGCCGGGCGCGTGTGCATGCGTGCCCAAGATCCCGAGAGGAGAACTGAGGAGAAGGGATTGCGGTGTGACCATCCCCCCGGGGGGCGATTTCTCACTTTCTGTCTCTCTGTCTCTCTCTCTCTTTCTAGCAAGCGCATGTGCCCTATAGCAAAAACCTGTCCAAAAAAAAAAAAAATTCAGAGAAAAATGGAAAGAATTATATCCCTACCAACTAGATTCTATAATTAAATTCTTCTGTATTTGCTATATTACATATGTAACAATCGGTTTCTTTTTCCTATCTTTCAATGTTGCAAACAGCAGTGTCTTTCACTTACGAGTCCGTTAGCGTGCTTATAATTGACTTGAGTTCTGCATTTGTTTCCCCATTTCTTTTTTGGGGGTGCTGAGGAATGTACAATTTGCATACATTGAAATGCATAAATCTAAAGTCAGTAGTTTTTTTTTTAATTCGCCAGAAACCTCATGCATTACCGAGAGAGAGAGAGAGAGAGAGAGAGAGAGAGAGAGAAATTACTCCCCCCATAAGAAATGGTCACACCACAATCTTTCCTCCACTCGCTTTTTTTTTAAGAGAATTATTATTTAACTTTATTTATTTGTTCATTCATTTAAACTTGGCCAGAGACGGAGTGAGCTAGAGAGAGAGAGGGAAAGTGAGAAAGCAAGACACCGGGTCTGGGACTTGAACCGTAGTTGGCCATGTGGGAGTCCAGTGCCCTTAACCACCATGCCGCCTGCCAGCACCCCATTCGCCTTGTGAGATTTTGGGCACACACGCACGTGTCCAGTGTGTGTTCTTCAGGCTGCTGGGTTCAATGGTGTAGTCAGCCGTGTGAGACCCAGCTCCCTTAACCGGATGAAAGGCTGACCCAGAACTTAGTTTTATTTATTTATTTATTTTTTAATTTTGCCAGAGGGCACGCACACTCGAGGGAGTGAGAAAGTGATAAAGCAACCCCCATGGGGATGATCATGCCGCGATCCCTTCTCTTCCATTTCTCTTTCCTTTTACGATTTTGGGCATATGCATACATGTGCCTGGCATGTTTCACATGCCATCAGGTTCAGGGCTTGAACTGTGCAGCTGGCCATGTAGGGTCTGGCCACTTTAACCAGCATGCCACCAGCTGGTTCTAAAACTCCTTTCTTTCTTTCTTTCTTTCCTTTTTTTTTTTTTTTTTTTTTAAGTTTTTGCCATAGGCCACAGGAGCTCTCTGGAGAGAAGCAGAGAGAGGGAAAATGAGAAATCCCCCCCCCCCCCCAAGGGGATGGCTACACTACAATCCCTTTTTCTCCATTCTCCTCTCAGGATTTTGAGCATGTATGCACACGCGCTGGGTGTCAAGACTGTGGGTCCGGTACTAGAACCGTGGTCATCATGTGGGAGTCCAGCACCTTAAGCACCTGCCACCTGCTGATCCCCTATACCCAGTTTTAATTTTTATTTATTCATTTACTTGTATATATATTTTTTGAGAGAGTTTTTTTTTTTTGAGGGTTTTTTTTTTTTTTTTTTTGAGAGGTTTTTGCTACAGGGTGTGTGTGCTTGTCAGACAGACAGAGAGAGACAGACAAAAGGCGAGAAATCACCCCTCAGGGGGGATGGCCACGCTGCAATTCCTTCTCGTCCATTCTCCTCTCGGGATCTTGGGCATGCACGCACACGCATCGAGCATTAGTTTAGGCCACCGGGTCCGGGACTCGAACCGCAGTTGGCTACATGGGAGTCCAGCAACATAGCCGTTATGCTAACTGCTAGTCCCTTGAGAGAGTTTTCTTTAAAAAAAAAATTACTTTCTTTATTTTATTTATCATTATTGTTATTTTTATTTCGACCAGAGTGACACACACTCACATACACACACACACACACACACACACACACACACACACACACACAGAGAGAATGAGAGAGAGAGAGAGATGGGGGCTGGCAGGTGGTGTGGTGGTTAAGGGCGCTGGACTCCCACATGGCTGACCACAGTTTGAGTGCCAAACTGGCGACTCACTTTCTCACTTTCCCTCTCTCTCTCTCACTCACTCTATCCCTCTCTTGTCAAATTAAAATAAATAAAGTTAAATTTAAAAAAAGTAAAATAATTATTTAAAAGAAAGAGAGAGGAAGTGAGAAAGCAAGCTACCAGGTCCAGGACTTGAACTGTGGTCAAGCGTGTGGGAGTCCAGCACCTTAACCATTACACCACCTGCTGGCCCTGAGAGAGTTTTTTTGCTATAAGGCATGTACACTCACTGGAGAGACAGAGATAGAGAGACAAAAAGTGAGAAATCACCCTGCACGGGGGATGGCCATGCTGCAATCCCTTCTCCATTCTCCTCTCAGGATTCTGGGCACGCACACGCGCTTCACGTCCACACTTCCTCAGTGAGGTAGCAGTTATGGTGAGGCTGAGGCCCTGGCCCTCTTCGGCTGTCATTGTCGTGGACTGGTTTACTCTGTCTAGTGCTTAAGGGAAGAGGGGTGAGCTAGGCCCAGTGTGAGAACAGGTTACTTATTATTATTAACTTTACATTTTCAGTTTGCTCTAGGGAGCTTGCATTCACTGGAGAGAAAGGGCAGAGAGGGAGAGAAAGAAACGAACACCTAGGAGGGGCGGCCATACCACAGTCCCTCCTCCTTCAGTCTCTTCTTGGAATCCTGGGAACACACATGCACCCAATTAAAAAAAAATTAAGGAATGATTTTATTTTTATTTTATTTTATTTTATTTGACCAGAAAGACAGAGAGAAAGAGAGAGAGAGAGAGGAAGTGAGAAAGCAAGCCGCCAGGTCTAGGACTCGAACCACAGTCAGTCATGTGGGAGTCCAGCACCCTGAGCCACTTGCCAGCCCCCCTAATTTGTTTTTCCATCTGCTATGTCTGGACTTGAACCGCATAGTTGGCCATGTGAGATCCAGCCGCCTTAATCACATGCCACTGGTTGGCCCACGGGATAGGTTATTCCTAGGGACCCAGATACCCATCCCTCAAGACCCAGTTCCTGTCCTACCCCAGCCCTTGACCTCAGGGTCCTGGACGTGGCCCTCCTCCTGCACCCAGCTCTGGGGTGTGGCAGAGCGCAGATGCAACGTAACAGCTCTGCGTTCTTGTCGCAGCCTTCTGCCTGCTTCCCTGCAAGCTCTGTCCTTCCCCGGCCTTGGTTTCCCTCCCTGCTGAGCCCACAGCTCGCCAAGGCCCACTGCAGCTCTACCCCGAAAGTCTCACTCCACTTCTGCTCCTTCCCCAGTTCAGAGAACCCAGGCATCCAGCTGCCCCACCCCAGCTCTGGGTAAACAGGAAGCCGGGTGAGGGGAGCAGGGGTGTGCGGAAAGTCCCAGCCAGGTGTGTGGGTCTGCAGGGAGGGCATGGCTCCACCCCTGAGGTATGAAATCCCCCCTGCTCTGGACCTGCTTCAGAGTCTTCATGGGGGCACTGGGGCTGGAGGGCCGGGGAGGAAGGCCCCAGGGAAGGGGCTGCCTGCTGCTGGCTGTGGCAGGAGCCACCTCTCCTGTGACCCTGCTGTTGGCGGTGCCCATCACCGTCCTGGCGGTGCTGGCCTTGGTGCCCCGGGAGCAGGCGGGACTGGTGAGTGGGTGTTGCAGGAGGGGCAGGCTGTGTGGATGCTCACCTAGCTCTGGCTGTGCCTGGTCTTCCCTCATCAGCTGGCTCAGCTGTCCCTGGAGGGGGTGTCTTGCCTGTCGCTGCTGACTCCAGGGTCCTGTGAGGCTGTGTGTCCTGATATCTCCGGGCTGGCTGGCTGTCTCCTTCCTCTCCTCTTCCGGAGACACTCGGGGCCCTGCCCGCTGCTCAAGTCCCTGTGCCTGGCCTGCTCTCGCTGTCAGAGATATGTTTGGGGATGGCGCCTGTAGGCCTATGTGGGGAGGGGTGGGGTTGGTACCCTCTGAGACTGAGCTCCGGGCACTGTGACCCCACCCAGGTAACGGAGACCTCTGACCCGGGGGCGCAGGCTCAGAAAGGACCGGGTAAGAACAGAACATCCCCCTTCCTGCTGCAGCCCCTCTGGGACTCCTAGCTCCCCTCTGCCCCCAGAAGCTCTTTCTCCAGAATCAGGCTCCCCGGGCCTGGGCGCTGGCACTCTGCCCTCTCAGGGACGCATGCATGGGTGGAGGCCCTGCCCTGCATGGTTGATTCTTCATTCCTTCCAGGGATTCAGGAACTGCCAGAGGAGGAGCCAGAAGCGAGTGTCAGCCCCCCAGCTGCGCACCTCATAGGTAAGGAGCTCCTAGACCTGAACACGCCTTGAAGTCGCCCGAGAGAGCAGTGCTCCTGCGCTCTGCAGTCCCTGGGCGTCTTCCCCAGAGCCCCCCTGCTCCCCCGGCTGTGTCCACCCTCCCGCCCCAGCCGCTTCGGCCCCCCCGGGTGCAGGCAAAACCCCGCACCGCTCCGCACCCCACGTCCAGGGGCCAGGTGCCCGCGTCCCCGACGCACACTCTCCAGAGAGCACCGTCGCCGCCCCCGGGCTCGGTTCCCGCAGGTGCAATCCCTCCTCCCCGCGAACCTCCTCCCCAGAGGCCCCCAGCCCAGACGGCCGCTTCCAGGAGTCCTTTCTCCGCAGGTGCGTGGAGGAAGGGCCAGGGACTAGGCTGGGAGGCACAGAAAGAAGAGGCGTTCCTGAGGAGCGGGGTGCAGCTCTCGGGCGCCGCGGGGCTGGCTTTCCCGCAGGACGGCCTCTACTACCTCTACTGTCACGTCGGCTACCGGGGCCGGGCGGGGCCCGCTCGCTCACGCTGCGCAGCTCGCTGTACCGCGCGGGCGGCGCCTACGGGCCGGGCGTCCCCGAGCTGCTGCTGGAGGGCGCCGAGACCGTGAGCTCCGTCTTGGAGCGGCCCGGGAGCCACGGGTACGGACTCCTCTGGTACACGAGCGTGGGCTTCGGCGGCCTGGTGCAGCTCCGGAGGGGCGAGATGGTGTACGTCAACATCAGTCACCCCGACATGGTGGACTACGCGAGAGGGAAGACCTTCTTTGGGGCGGTGATGGTGGGGTGAGGGCCACCCGCGTCTCTGGGCAAGGACTGCATGGTGCCAGGGTGTGAATCGGCCGAGATGTTGGGGACCCAGGTACCCGGGACCCCTGGAGTGGGGGAAATGGAGGAGACCGTTTGGGAGCTGATTTTGGAGCCTGGTGAAAATAAAGCGTGCAAAGCTGCAGCGCAGCCGGTGCGGGTGCAGAGACCCCGCGTGTCTTGATTCGGGTGGTCCCCAGGGGTGTTCTCAGTTGCTCTAAACAGCTCATGACACATATGGCCTTCTCCCAACATGTGGTGTGACCGTTCTCCCCGACCCCTGAGAGGCCAAGCCCTAGGACTAGCCCAGCCGGAGAGCAGAAGGACCGATCTCAAACCCGGAGCATGTCCAGGATCCGAGTCCTCCGGGTCACGTGGTGCGCCCACCGCACTCCTTCCTCCTGGGTGGCTCCCACCGTGCGCGTGCGGT